GTTTTTATTCAAATATCTGGAAAAGGGTCTTCAAGTTTGTTTTTGATGATTTCATTGGTCAATTTCAAATATGGGTTATCTGGGGTCAAAAACCTAGGTCACTGTCCAAATATTGAAAAAAACCGTGTTAACACTCTATTTGAGGTCTCATTTTTTGACTCATTTGTCATCAAAGTTTGTCAGAAAGCTTGACTAGGTAATTTCTCGGGTGAGTTTGATGGGAGGGGCGATTGGGGCATTTGGCCCCCGTTAAGTAAAGAATATTTAGTTGGTTTCTTCTAAGTTAAATTTTTCGCCGACTTCTTTTGGACACTTTTCAATGTCACTTTTTTTTGGAAAGGGAGGTAAAACAAAAGGAAAAAAATACATGAAAACTGATTCGGATAAGTAATGTCTGCATATTAAGTTTTTGGGCGCATGGGAAAAAAAGTCGGTTACTAAAACTATTCACAAGCCCCTACAGAGAAGCCCCGGTATTAGGGGATAGTCAAAAATTACATCTTTCCTTTTCTTGAAGAAAAAATGCAAAAGTTAAAAAATTTTAATAAAAACCCCCAAAATGAAAACAAAAACAAAACAGAATGGCTTTTTTTTAAAAAAATTTCATTTTTAAAAAAAAGAAAACAAAACCCCCCAAGAAAGTCCAAAATGTTGACTATCAGTTTATGGTCTGTAATTACTTTAAAATGTTATCCAATATTAACTACAAAATATGAATGTTTCTATCACCCAAGTTTACTGCTAAGCATGTCTTCTCACATTCTTCGCAATTTTGACTGTAAATGCCTTTCAATATGATTTTAGTGTTCTGCTTGCATAGGCTACGGGTCTTAAATGTCCATCATTTTGCACTTTAAGCAAAAAGCACTAAGTCCATATAGTGAGTCAATCAACCATTAAGAGTTGTCACCTTCTGTGTTAAAGAAAGGCCATGTTACTTGCACTTGTCAGTGACTTTAAGGTCATGACCATCCTAAATGCTTTGAAGAGTATTGAAATAGGCTAGAACTGCTGTTAAAAATACATTGAAAAATTAGGAACTTGTTGTTGTTAGCCTTCGGCTAAAAATAGAAATACCTTTAAATGTCTATTTCTACAGAACTAATGGTGGATGATCACCAAACTTTGTCTAGCATTCTTGGGTAGTCTATGATCAGTTTGCTCATCATTAATTTGATTAGCCCCTTTTAGGGTCTCTATGCTAAAAATAGAAAAATCTTTAGAAATCTTCTTCTATCAGAAGTAATTGATGGATGATCACCACTTTTTGTGGGGCGTCCGTGGCGGCGAGTGGTTAAGGTCGTTTGACTTCAAACCACTTGCCCCTCACCGCTGTGGGTTCGAATCCCGACAGGGACTTTGGATTCTTTCATGTCAGGGAAGCTATCCAGCCAAGCTTACGGAGACGTCGGTGGTTCTAACTCGGGTGCCCGTTCGTGCCTGAAATAATGCACGGAAGGGCACCTGAGGTCTTCTCCACCAGTAAAGCTGGAACGTCACATATGACCTATACTGTGTCGATGTGACGTAAAACCAATCAAAGCAAACAAAAACCAATTTTTGTCTGTAGCATTCTTGGTAGTCTTTTATCAAATTTGGGTCCTATGAATTTGATTTGGCCCCATAGAAATACCTTGATATTTCTAATTTCTACAGAACTAATGGATGGATTATCACCAAACTTTGTCTGTTAGCCTTGTTGTGTAGTCTTTTATTTAGTTTGCTCATTTTATTTTGATTGGCCCTTTTAGGGCACGCTAAAAAAAAATAGATATACATTTAAACGTCTATTGCTACAGGTATACATTTAAACGTCTTTGCTACAGAACTAATTAATGGATGATCACCAAACTTTGTAGCGTTTTGGGGTAATCTTTCATCAAGTTTTGCTCACATTAATTTTGTTGGCCCCTTTTAGGGCCGCTTAAGCTAAAAATAGAAAAACTTCAAACATCTCACTTCAGGACCAATGGACGGATATCACCAAACTTTGAGCATTTTTTGGGTTTAATCTTTTTTTCAAGTTTGCTCACATTAATTTGATTGGCCCCTTTTAGGGGCCGCAAAAAAGCTAAAAATAGAAAAAAACTTTTAAACATCTTCTTTTTCAAAGAACCCAATTGATGGATGGTCAACCAAACTTTATCTGTAGCATCTTTGGTACTCTTTTATCAAGTTTGCTTATATTAAATTTTGATTTAGCCACTTTTAGGGAGCCACTAAAAGCTAAAAAGTAGAAAAAAAAACTTCGAAACATCAGTTTCCTAACTGAAATAATTGATAGATGATCACCAAACTTTGAAGCATTCTTAGGAAGTATTTTACGAAAGTTTGCCGCCATATTAATTTGATAAGCCCCCGTTTAACCTAAAGCTTAAATGCCCCGGTCAATGGCATTTCTTCAATTATTTGTTTAAACATATTCTATGCTCAAATTTGATATTACAATATAATTGGACATTCCAACAAGTGAAAAGCCAGTTGTTTTCTGGTGAGCAGACTCCAGGTCTAATCATGGGCCGCTTTGTCTTTTGCTTTTTTGTGCCCCCGACTTTAGTGCGGGCATTTAAAATTTCCCTTGTCCCCCTTCGGGCGTCCCTTCCTTTTTTCGATATAAATCAAAAAATTTTACCCCAGATCATTTTAAAAATTTTAGAAGTTACAGAAGGTGCAGTTGTGCACCTGGGTATCTTTGTGTGGATTTATTCAGTATTTTTAGATTTATTGCCCCTGCAATAGAAATTTTTTGCAATTTTCAACTTGTGCCGCATGTAACTCACAAAGGATTTGACACAGCAGGCAGGTTGCTCAGCAAATGTTGCTGTGCACCTGGGGTTTCGCTTGTGGATTTTTTCCAGTATTTGTTGAGTTATTTCCCTTGACTTTGAAAAAAAAACGTTTCATTATGTTGTTATTTGTTCATTGAGTGCTTGAGTTAGAATCAACCAACTTTACAGGAATAATGATCAACAAGACTTAATAACGGGAATAATGATCAACATCACTGTGAAGCTATGCACCTGGGACTTTGCATGTGGATTTTTTTTTTCAGTTATTGCTCTTGGCTTACAGAAGTATAAATTTGCAATTTTCAACTTGTTCATGCATAGCTCAAAAATTATTTGACTTGTAGGCCTGAAAGTTTACAAGAATGTTGTGTTGGTCAGCATGTGAACTTATAAATGCACCTTGGGGTTTGCTTGTGGATTTATTCAGTATTTGTAAAGTTCTTGCCCTTTACTTAGTATGGACACATTTCTAGTTTTCTTCTCTCTTTTTTTGACCTTTATGTATCTCTCGTATTCTTTTTGGGAAGAAAAAATGTCTAATTTAAATCAATTAATTTATTAATTTAGGTTAATAAATTAATTTGGGTATTTATTTGCTAAATAATGCTAAATATTATAGCAAATATGGAACCTGATATTTTCAAAAGTTGTATAATCAAAACAATATGGAAAAAGTATTTTATATTTTACCAGCTCAAATAATAATTTAGAGAAACTTTGAAAACAGCCCCTCATTTTGTTAAATTTTAGAGATTTTTTAAGCTCTTTAAGTAGGACATGTAAAATATGGGTGGGGTAGGGTAACATTTGTGTACATATTTCATAAAGTCTGTGTAGAATCAATTTTTTTTTCTTGTGTGGATTGTTAGTAGCCACATGTCTACACATATACTTATTTGGTTGCTCTTTGGCTTAGAACTGTGCTACTTCTCTTGTGGGACCCTCAACTTTCTCAATGATATCTAAATCTTCAAGCCTCCGGAGTTCATTTTCAACTTGCTTTCTGAAGTAAAAGGGTATTAGCCTATGTGACTGCGTAACAGGTTTGACATTTGTCAACATACAGTTTTGCTTTGGACCCTTCATTTTCCCCATACTTGTAAGCACGGATTGGTACTTCTGCAGAGATTATTGACCTTGTTTGTAACTGTGTTTATTTCTGGAATAATATTGAGGTTAACAGATATCTTATAAGATAAAAGGTTACCTCTGCTTTCATTGGTACGGTTGATTTTACAGTCATTGATAAAAATTTCATATTTGGGCTTTTGATTGCTTGGCATTGACAGAAATACATATACATATATATTTCATTTTCACTGTCGCTTTGTCTTTATCCTTTTCACTTTGAGACCTTTCATTCAGATTATAAGTGTTTTGTTTTTTTTTCCTTTGAGAGATGATAAATATGATCTATACGCAGGTGATTCTAGAAAATATTTAAAAACATATCAGAAGATAGAATTAAAACTTCAGCATCATTTAATAACATTGACAGATGCTGCATAATTAATATTGTGGCTGTAATTCCAGAAAAAAAATCAGAATGTATGGTGTGATGTCAGAGAAAACCATAACTAGTATTTGATGGGACATATGTTTTTATTGTAAACTAATTTAGAAATTTACAACTACGGGTCTTATTTCATATGTAAGGACTGGTGTCACCCCGGTACGGGATAAAAGACCCAGCCCGTTGTAGTCTAGAAAGTAGTTTCTTTTGAAATGGCCTATTTAAAGTCATCCCAGTTGATACTGGTTATATTTTAAGTACTTTTTAGTAATTAGGAAAATGAAATTTCATTTCTGTGTATTTTAAAGGCAAGAATACACACCAGTTACGATTTGGAATATTTATAGTGATTACACAAATTAAAAAGCTGCAGAAAAACTGCATCTGCTAATGTATTTTTTTGTGCTTAATTTCCTTGGACTGCATTGATGTTTAAAGATATAGCCATGAAGTTCCTGTACCGATAGCTTTGTCCAAAATTAAGCCTTAAATGCGATGACTTTTCAATAGGATATAAAACTATGAAAAACAAAAAAAAATGCTACAGGATATAGAGTACGAAAATTCACTAGGCCGTCTCCGTAAAGGCTGTGGGGAAAATCAATACAATAGTCTGACCTGTACGGTATCAAAACGGATAGTAATTACCGGAAATTAGTCTTCGCTGGTCCCTTGTATAATTTCTCAGTTTATATATTATAGACATTGGGAGAGGGAACCAGAACACTTGCTGAGGTGGCATCATGGCGTCGTACACAATTATTTTTGCCGGCTTGTTATTTGTGTTAATTCCAGCTATATGTGTTGCAAACAAGAAAACGTTAGTGCTGCTTGACAACTGGTCTCTGCGAGAGACACATTCAATATTTTTCAGATCTCTTCGTGGTAAGTTTTTTTGTATTTTCAAAATTAGTTAACGGAACCAGTCGGCGGTTCCACGTTGCACAGTCTAAACCATAGGCACTCGGTTCCAAAACCTTCTATGATTTTAATTTCTTTTTAAAAAAAAATTCATATCATGTATATAAAATACTACAAGGTTTCGCAGCCGCCATGTTTTAACGCAACGGAAGTGCGTTGACTGGTGTACAATTTTCATTAAAAAAACACTAGTTCCCGATTCGATGAAGAGACTATTGGCTAATACGGGTACCACAATTATTGACTATTTCGCCGTGGTACCCGCATCAACAATATGCTTTATTATGTGACTCGGGAGCCAGTATTTTTTTGTTAATTGTACACCAGTCAACGCACTTCCGATGCGTTAAAACATGGCGGCTGCGAAACCTTGTAGTATTTTATATACATGATATACTTTACTTTACTTTATATGAATTTTTTTTTTAAAATAAATAAAAATCATAGAAGGTTTTGGAACCGAGTGCCTATGGTCTAAACTTTAGTAATGTTGATTTTTTTTTTGTAAATAGATCTAGCTTGATTAAACAATGCATCATAACGTCAAAGATCTATCTATTCAGGGCTATTTGGGGAAGCAGCCCAGCCCTTACTTTTGGGAGAAAATTACATGATATAAATCCCTATTTCCAAACGAATGACAGACTATTCTCTCCCTTTCCAGTTCCTCCCCCTGACGGTTCTCTCCCTTACCGTTTCCTCCCCTGACGATTCTCTCCCAAAATTGAAATATGCAGACAGTTCTCCCCCAATTTTTATTTTATAAGTTATCTTTTTTGTTTTGACTTAATCTAGTTATATTTTTTAATGAATATTATTAAAATAATGTGTTTGATAATTAAGTGTTTTTAATATTTTGTTTATCTGAATTTAGTGCATGTAAATTTCACACCTTTTTCAAGTATTTTAATTCTATCAACACCTTCATTGTGGGTGATTAATTATTGGACAGTGACTGATATACACCTGTAATTATGTTAATTAATGTCTTTTGATATTCATTAATTTGTTTAAATAGCACATAGGGTGGTAACAAATTTTAGGAAACAAATAAGCAACAACTGGTATGCAATCACATTTACTTTTATACAAAATTTTGGAAAGAACATTTAGTCATTAACATATGAAACAATATATAAAACCAAGTTCAAATCAGCTCTGTTGGATATTTCTTCTGAGATCTTAAATATTTTCAATCACAAAAATATGACTTGAAGTAAAGAATTAATGGAGTTTTAATAAATTTTATTGAAATTAATTACAAGGAAATTAAAATATGTTAATTAAGTTAGACTTTTTTATTTATATGAATAAAAGGTAATATAATTGAAATAGAATAAATATGAAATCAAAAATTAACTCGAATTTATGCTTTAAGTGTTATTAATTTCATGAATTGAAAAATTTTCAATTTAAAGCTCATTGATGATCATATTACAAAAAATGTAAATTATATCAAAATTATTAAAAAAGATAATTTAATTCTAATACAAAAAACAATGTCTGTTATATTAAACAGTCACAGAAAGCCACATTAACTTCAAGCACTCCTCTTAATAGTTTTTACAGAAAGCTACATTAACTTCATGTGACTCCTCTTAATAGTTTTTACTCATCACTTCACATTATTTCAACCTGAAATGTTTATTCTTCACACTGAGGACCGTATGCCGAGGCACAGCCTTCAAGCAATTCACTGGTCTGAATATTCCCTGCAGAATAGTTCTTCCAAAGCTCCCTTATCTTTTCCTCAATCTTGCGTGCTGCTGGGCGAACACGACGCGTAGAAATACCATCTCTAAGGTGACGCAACTCATATGACACTTCTTCAGCCTCACACTGTAAGACAGGTACCAGTCTGTAAAATGATAAGCTCAAGGCCCCAGCCTTTCGGTTCAATTTATTGTGCCACCCTGAAAATATAAAAAACCATGGAAACATGAAGTAAATGCTTACATTATACAGTATTCCACACTATTTATATGCAGGTCGACAATGTTCGATCATAAAAATAATTCTTATCAGAACATTTTGTTTTTTAAATTAATGCTAGTTATTTTTAAACTTGTGTGCAATATACAATACCAAATAACTAATAAAAATACAGATGCTTATATCACAATTAATTAACTGAAATTTCTTATGAATAAATTTAATAATATACAGTATCAGTAATATATCGCCACCCTTTCACAGCTATTTTAATCTAATCAACACCATGATCTCCAGTAATGATTGAATAAACACATCAATTATCTCTGACAGCAAATTTAACACACATGTGTATTGAACATGTGAACCTTTCTTCATATTATACCAAAGTATAAAATTTAGCAATTACAATGCATTCATATTTATTTTATTCAATAATTAATATCTAATGATTATCCCATTATCTTTTCAGTTTTGACTTAAAGAACATTTAGTCATTAACATGAAACAATATATAATACCAAATAACTAATAAAAATACAGATACTTAGATCAAAATAAATCTTATTTTTGTAGCAGGGATCTTATTTTTTGGTATCCATCTATACCGAATTTATTTAGATGTTTTTTCTAGTTTAGTCCTTTCAATTTCGCATGAATAATGTTGCTTACTTACATTGTTACATGTATTTCGGATTTTTATCTTTCAAATTAAAAAAAAAAGCATTTTGTAATCATCAGTCAGTAGATCTAAAAATATTACCTTTATTCACTACAGTAAGGTCAAATTAAAAGAAAAACAAATCAACAATTTCATACATCTATGAAATAAAAAAAAAATCCTACCTGTACCACATGTGCGGTGTTGCCACTTATGACAAGAGTCACATGAAATTCCATGTTGTCTTGGACGCACATATGAAGCACACTCTAAACAAATATCCGACATAATTTAATTTCTACAAATACTTTAAAAATTCCAAATTATATTTCAATGCTTAGTAATCACAGTATAGTAACACCATAAATTATCAATATATCGTGGACTAACCAGTTCTCAAACCTCTAAGCATTCAAGAGGTCTTTTAATGTAAATAAAAATACATCTTTATAAAAATTCTTTTTTAAGATGAAAGAAGAAAAAAAATAAAACACAATAATTAATATCTAATTATTATCCCTATCAAATTAATTATTCAGTAATTATTTTTAATGACTAAACACATTGAAATATACCCATTTTTAACATCTAAATACTTCAATCAAATATACCCATTGAAATATACCCATTTTTAACATCTAAATACTTCAATAAAATATTTTTTCTTTAATTTGTATCAATTAATGATAAACTTACCCTTTAATTTAACATCTAAATACTTCAAATATTATATACAAATTAAAATAAAAATGGGGGGGGGGGGGAACTGTCTGCATATTTGCAATTATGCAGACGATTCTCCCCCAAAATAGGGAGAGAATCGTCAGGGAGGAAACGTCAGGGGAGGAAACGTTAAGGGAGAGAATAGTCTGACTACCTTTCCAAACGGGGGAGATAAATTAAATTTTTGTGGAAAACCACAGACACTTGGAGTATAGACCCGTCCTTCTCCGCCCCTGAATATTAAAAACTAAAAGTATTATTTATTACAAGAATTAATGTTAAATTTTTGCTTATGCTTTTCTCTCGTCGATTCGTGACTCTTATTTGGAAAAACTGCACTTGCACAACAAATATCAGACATATACAGGCTGTTATATTAACTCCAATACTGTACAAAATTCTTTGCCAATTCAACGCAGCTTCATCATCGACGCCATCTTGGAAAGATTGATTAAAATCCGTCATGCACGAAACACTTTAATCTATTGTTTTTCATTAATTGATATAGGGTGTGTGCATATTTTAGATACATCATAATTATTTTTGATACATGTAAAATGAATTAAAAATAATAATATCTATATATATGTTTATAAAATATACCATGTGACCTTTTTGCACGAGTTTTTCGGTTTGAGGTCATATTGAGTTCGTATGCAGTGAAGACTAGAGATGTCGGTAAGTACATATGAACACGTGTATATTGATGATTATTCGTATTCATTCTCTGAACTTTCTGCAGATTCTGAAATGATATATTTGTAAAGCATCAATAATAATTGAATAATTTTAGTTTCAGTAATTGTTAATACTTGTTTGTTGTTTTAAATGATTCTTATAATAGTTTATCGTTTTTCACATGTTATATATTAATTTATTTACACTAATTTTAACAGAATGTGTACTTGTAGAACTTTTGTCACAGAAACATAAGAGCATGGATTGACCATTATAGGCTCTCCTACAACAACTTTCGGGGACTCTTTATGGTGCATGCTTGGAATCCAATTATAATGATCAAACATGTCCTGTTCAACGACTGGATTAACTCCAGCTGAATATAAATATAATTGTAATTGAATTTGAGAAATTAAAGACAAATTAACTATTGCATCATGACATTTAAATAGACATTGTGTTTGTCTGAATTCATGACGAAATCAAAATGCGTTCATGATGTAATTTTGTACGTGTAATTAGATTTATTTGCTTTATTATTACTTATGCAACGAAACAAAATCTAATATAATCTAAATAATGTGTTTAAAATATATATATTTTTTACAATATTTTGGGATAATGAATACAAATTATGTCAGAAATTACCTTCAATTTTTTCATCAATGTAATCACGTGTCATACTAGTATTGTGTGCTCCCATGTCGTTGACAACTTTGGCCAGTCGTTTTTCAATAAATTTATTCCTTACGTTTTGGAAGACCGATTCATTGTCATGCAACATTGATTTGATTTTTGAAAATGTGTCAACATTATTAAAGTTGTAATACCATTTTGATGGTGAAATTTCTTGTTGTTTTTGAAGATTTGTTTTCTTTGCTGGTATATAATATTAACAACCGTGGTAACAACACTTGCCTTTGATTTATAATTATAATTAACCGGCCAATTTCTGGCCACAACTTGGTTA